AGGATGTCATCATATAAGTGGAATTATATCATGTCAGGTTTTCAATAAGACTTCTTCCTCTTAGGAATACTTTCATCCAATTGGCCAACATAGCCTTCATGTCATTCTCATAGTTGTTGTGTTAAGACATTTATATTCCACATTTAGAAAGATTCACATGTACCCTTATAGGATAAATCATAGGCGTGATCCCAGCAATCACCCTCCCTCCACCCATCCTCCCCCTTCCCCTCCCCTTCCTCTCCCCTTTCCTTGTATTCTTAGGCTAAAATTGAGTTATAGCTTTCCTATGATAACTAAAAATTAGTTTCATAATAAGGTTGAGTACATTGAATACTTTTTCTAACATTCTTGAGATAGTTGCTAAGAAGAATATTTTCCAGCTCCATCCATGTAAACATGAAGGAGGAAAAGTCTCCATCCTTCTTTAGGGCTGGATAGTATTCCATAGTGTACATACACCACAGTTTATTGATCCATTCATGGATTGATGAGCACTTGGGCTTCTTCCATGACCTAGCAATTATGAATTGGGCTGCAATAAACATTCTGGTACAAATATCTTTGTTGTAGTGTGCTTTATGGTCTTCTGGATATATACCTAATAGAGGAATTATAGGATCAAATGGCAGGTCTATTTTTAGTTCTCTAAGCATTCTCCAGATGTCTTTCCAAAAGGAACATATTAGTTTGCAATCTCACCAACAATGTACAAGTGTTCCCTTTTCTCCACAACCATGCCAGCATCTATGATTTTGGGATTTTGGGATTTGGGCTGATCTTACTGGTATTAAATTATATCTCAAAGTAGTTTTAATTTGCATTTCTCTGATGATTAAGGATGGTGATCATTTTTTCATGTATCTGTAGGCCATGTGCCTGTCTTCTTCAGAGAAGTTTCTGTACAAGTCCCTTGCCCGACCTGAGATAGGATCACTTGTTCTCTTCTTGCTAATATGTTTGAGTTCTCTGTGGATTCTGGTTATTAAACCTTTGTCAGAGACATAACCCGCAAATACATTCTCCCATTTTGAGGGCTATCTGCTTGCTTTACTTACTGTGTTCTTGGCTGTGCAAAAGCTTTTTAGTTTGATGAGGTCCCAGTACTGTATTTTTGATGTTGCTTCTTGTCATATAAATTTATATGTATTTAGTTTTAGCCATTTTAATACTATGCTTCATTGCACTTTTAGATTGCATTTCTCTAATGATTAAATATATTAAGCATCATTCATTATGTTTCTTTGCCATCTTCATATTTTGATTGGTAAAATGTTTGTTCTCATCTTCTGCCAGTTTTTACAATTAGATTTTCTCTTTCATTCAATTTTTTGAATTTAATTTTAAGTTTTTTTTTTTATTGTTGGGATATCGTTGAGGGTACAAAGAACCAGAACCAAGTTACATTGCTTGAATTTGTTAGGTAAAGTCCCTCTTATAATTCTGTCAATTTTAAGTTTTTAAAATATATTTTGTATATACAAGTTACATGTAATTTGAAAATATGTCCATCCAATTTGAGGCATTTCTTTTCATTCTCTTATGCTTTCAGAGATAAAAGAATTTTTTTATTTGTTTTTTATTAGATCATAATTGTGTACATTAATACTCTCATAGGATACAGTGTGTTACTTCTATATGCAGTTTAGAAAACTCTCCTCCAAGTGGCTAACATAGCCATCATGTCATTCTCATAATTGTTATGTTAAGACATTTATATTCAACCTTTAGACAAATTCACCTGTACCCAAATAGGATAAATTATAGGCATGATCCCCACAATATCATTCTCTTCACCCATCTTCCCCCTCCCCTTTTCCCCTCCCCTTTCCCCGTAGTCTAGGGCTCCATTTGGATTGTAGCTTTCCTAAGATAGCTAACAATTAGTTTCATAATAGTGTTGAGTAAGATCCTGTAATTCCTCTGTTAGGTATATACCAAGAAGACCATAAATCACGCTATAATACAGATATCTGTACCAGAATGTTCATTGCAGCCCAATTCACAATCGCTAGGTCATGGAAGAAGCCCAAGTGCCCATTGACCCATGAATGGATCAGTAAATTGTGGTATATGTACACCATGGAATACTATACAGAGATAAAAGAATTTTATCTATAATATCAAAAATTTGATTTTCATTTAAAAACGTTATGCAGATAAAAGTGTTTAAGGTTTGTTGTTGTTGTTGTTTGTTTGTTTGTTTTTGCAGTTTTTGGCTGGGGCTGGGTTTGAACCCACCACGTATGGCATATGGGGCCAGTGCTCTACTCCTTTGAGCCACAGGTACCACCCAATGTTTAAGCTTTTGTAGTTCAATTTTTCAATTTATTTTATGGGTACTGCTTTTTGTGATGTAACTAAAAACTCATTGCCAGGTCCAATACTATACAAATTTTCTTGTATGTTTTTAAAATTAAGTCATATATACATAGATCACCATCTTTTTGCTTATGTGGTTTCTGACAAGAAATCTAGTATAAATCTTCTCTTTGTTCTTTTGTAGATAAGGTGTTCTCTACCCACTCTCTCCTTCTTGGCTGCCTTCAAGATTTTAGTGTGTTCTGATTTTCTGCAATTTGAATTTTAAAAAAAAAATTTCAGATTGATATGATGGTACAAATGATTAAGTTACATTGTTTTTTACATTGTGTTTTTTTAGGTAAAGTCCAAATTGTAGTTGAGCTCTTCACCTGAGGATGTACTGTATACCCTTATATTGTATTGCTCCCATTAGGTGAGAAATTACCAATCCTCCTTCTTCCTCCCCTCTGCCCCCTTCTCTGCCTCCCTACCACTTGAATTTAGTTTTGTTTTTCTCAGGTGTGGGATTGTAGTTGTTTTTCTATTGGTTTCATATTAGTATTGAGTACAATAGATATTTGCTTTTCCATTCTTGTGATACTTTACTAAGGAGAATGTTCTTCAGCTCCATCCAAGTTAATACAAAAGATGTAAAGTATCCATCTTTTTATGACTGAATAGTATTCCATGGTATACATATACCATAGTTTATTCATCCATTCATGGGTTGATGGGTATTTGGGTTATTTCCACATCTTGGCAATTATGAGTTGAGCTGAGATAAACATTCTAGTGCAAATGTATTTATGGTAAAATGATTTTTTTTCTCTTGGTAGATACCTATTAATATGATTATTGAAGGCTTAAATGGAGGTCTAATTCGAGTTCTTTGAGCATTCTCCATACTTATTTTTAATGAGTCTGTATTAGTTTGCAACTCTACCAGCAATGTAAAAATGTTCCCTTCTCTTCACATCCATGCGAGCATCTTCAGCTTTGGGACTTTGTGATGTGGACTGTTCTCACAACAGTTAGGTGATATCTCAAAGTGGTTTTTATTTTCATTTTCCCTATGATTAGGGACAATGAGCACTTTTTCATGAGTTTGTTGCCCATTTGTCTGTCTTCTTCAGAGAAGGTTGTGTTCATGTTTCTTGCCCATTGATAAACGGAATTGTTTGCTCTTTCTTTGTTGATTAGTTTTAGTTATCTGTAGATTCTAGTTATCAGCCCTTTGTCAGATTCATACCATGCAAATATCTTCTCCTATTCTGAAGGTTGTTCATTTGCTTTAGTCGTTGTTCCATTAGCTGTGTAGAAGCTTTTTAGCTTGATCAAGAGTCTTTACTACATTACTCATAACTGTTTTTAAATTCCCTGTCTGGTATTTCCAACATATATGCCATAGCTGAGTCTGGTCCTCATGGTTGCTTTGTCACTTCAAACTGTTATTTTCTTGCCCTGAATTTCCCATTCTTCTGCTTCCTGGAAACAATCTATATTTCTGTCAACTAGTACAGATGTATCCCACTATTATATTTTTACTGGTGCTTTTTAGCCTGGTAATGAGGAATAGGAGATCAGAGACATTCTATTATATTCTGATTAAGTCTCAGTCTTAGGCAGACTTACCCTAAGTGCTGGAAATCTGACCTTCACAAGTGTTTCTATTCTTCCTCCAAGAGTAATGGTAGGCCTAGCACATTTTCCTGCCCCTCCTAGGTGAGAACATATTTTTTTCTATTCTTCTCTCAAGCTGAAGTAAGTTTCCACCAGTAGCCTGAGTTTCTGGTACTTTTCCTTCTGAAGATTAAGACTCTTAGGGGAGATAGGGGCAATTGGTTCAGGGCCAAAGGTGTCCAACCTAATTTCTTTTCTGCCCCACATTGGAAGAAGAATTTTCTTTTGTCTTGGGCCATACATCAAATATATAAACATTAACAAAAGCTGATAAGCGAAAAAAAATTCCATGTATAATTTTCGTTATATCTGACACCACAGATATGGAAAACAGTACTCAAGGAATCTGCATGCAGCCCACAGGCTGCAAGTTGGACACCTTGTTGAGCAAATTTTCATTGGTGTTGGCTATTCTGCTCTACGATCTGCAGTGAGTTTCCACCAGTGCTCTCAAGCTATAACTTTTGATGCCTTTCTTTTGAATATTAAGACTTTTGTTACATAGGGAATATAGGGGAAATGATCTAACTAGAATGTAGAATGTCGATAGTGGTTACTGTTCTGTTGTTTTCCTCAAGCTAGAACTACAGGATATCTTCCTCAGGATTATTCTAAGTCTTTCCTGTCACACCTGGTGGAATTCTGGGAGGAAAACTCTGCAAAAAGGTGCAAACGTCTACAGACATTGTCACACTAGCTCACAACCAGCTTTTAGCAATTCAGTAATCACTTTTAGTTGAACCTTTTTATTAGTTTTATGTTGTTTCAGTGGTCTATGCACTAAGTAAGCAACTTCCCTGGTCATGTAACTCCTTTCAGATACGTGTTCTGTATGTTTGGAGTTAGCTGTTTATATTGCAACCTTAGTTTCCTGATGAGTTCAAGGGACTTCATTAATTTTCAGTTTTACAGCTATTTTTATTGTAATTGTGTGAGAGATGTTCTTTCCAGCTCTGAGCCAATACCAGATCAAGTGAATCTGGGGATAAACTTTTGAAGCTCTGTTTGTCTTCCAGCATCCATACCTCAGTTCACGAATTCCCCCACAATGGTGATCATGGTGGGTTTACCAGCTCGAGGCAAGACTTACATCTCCACAAAGCTCACAAGATATCTAAACTGGATAGGAACACCAACTAAAGGTATGTCTCTTAAACTCTGTGTTCTACAACCCCCTACAAGTCACTGGCTGAAAACTGAGTAAGGTAGCAAGCTAAAGTACTCTGCACCAGAAATGCCACATCATCATTATTACCATTTTTGGACCTATTGCTACAACTATTACTATTGCTGCTACCACTATCAGTACATTATTGTAAATTTTATAATTTCTTGAGTATATAGACTTTACCCAATACTACACTGGGTGCACATATGCTTGGCATAGAAAAACTAGTATTAAGATTAAATATCTGATACAAGAAGTACTGTGACCTCAAAACAATCCTATGATTAATATACTGTTTTTATTACTATTACTATCTTTGCACACCAATATTACTACTTTTATTAGATTTACCATTTCTTCACCATTTCATGATTGAATAAATTAAGGGCCAACAGTTGAAATACCTCATCTAAAGGCACATGGCCAGTAAGTGACAGATCCAGGATGTGAATTCCAAGCCTGACATTCACTGTGCCAGGTCTGATGTATGGTTCTACTGATGAAAAGAGGAGAGAATCCCAGATTGGCCCTGTACTCTTCTTTTGTCATTCTCTTTCTCTCCTTTTTTTTTCTTGTCCATCCCCCACATCCTATCTGTCTTCCCCCTTCCCTTCCTCTCTCCAAGTATTCTCTTCTCTTTTTCCCATTTCTTCTTTCCTTTCACCTACTTTTTCTTTATCTAATTCACTGGCAAAGACTTGTACAATGGTTTCACATGTACTAAAAACCATACCAGGCATTGGAAATATAAAAATGGATGGGACTTATGCATTGTCCTTGAAGTGTTATCATCCTGACTGGGATGAATAAGAACATCTCACATCTTCTAGGAATCCTAGAGCAGGAACAGGGTGCTGCGGGAGCTTACAGAGGGATTTACAAACTGGAAGGCAGCAACAGCTTCCTAGATAGGGTATATTTGATCTGGGTCCTATAGGAGGAGTAAGACTTGGGAAGAGGGAAAAAGAGAAGAAGCATCTCTCATGGAGGACTGCAAGCTCCATGGAGCCTCTGCTGAGTATAGGGACATACAGAACACAGGAAGATGGGTCTCTGCCCTGATCTCTCTATTTCCTGTCTGCTCCTTTCCACTTGATTTCACAGAGGCTTCCAGAGTCATATGTCAAAGCACAAAGCTGATCATGCCTGCAGTCTCCAAAGGCCCACATATCCAGTTGGTTTAAATCCAAGATCCTTAGCCTGTTGGTAAAGGCCCTTCACAATTGGCCCCTTCTCGCCTTTCAGACCTCAGCCACAGTGGGTGATACACTATCCTCGAAACATGCTCTGCCTATTCCTCTACAGGAATACCTTTGTTCCCCACTCCCACCCATATACCTGCCTATAAAATATGCCTACCCTAAAAGCTCAGTCTAAGTGATATTTTGTCAGATCATCTGAAGTAGAATTAGTCTTCCCTTCCCCCTTACTCTTGCTCCATATTCTCTCTGTCAGAAGACTTAAGAAAACTCTGATAACTGCTTTACTCACTGCCTTGCTGCTGGATTTTGAACCTTTTGAGGGCTCCATGATGACCATCCAGTTAATCTCTGAGACAAAGGACTCAAATCCTGCTTCAGAGAGTAGGTATCAAAAAGTATTTGCTGGATGAATGAATGAAATATCATTTCTTTGGCTGTTCATCCTCTTTCTCCTCCTTTCCTCCCCTCCTCTCTGGTTTTTCACCAAGTAGGGAAACATGGCCTAGAGATTTAAATTTAGTTTGTCTCTCATGATATAGAAAAATAAAATAACATTGATCTAGGAGTCTAGAAACCCAGTCTATATCTGTCACTAGCTCACTCACTGTTTGACCCTTAGTGATTGATTTTACTACCTAAATCTAAGTTTTTTCATCGTTCTACTGGAGTAGGGCATTAAAGGATTATTATTTATGAATAGTGGAAAGACTACTTACTTTGGAGCCCTAGAGACCTAATTTTGAACCCCAGATCCCCATTTATTAGCCATGAATTTATTTCCTATCTTTGGACTTTAAGTTTCCTCATTTGTAAAATGGAAATGATGATACCTTGCAGGATTTTAATAATGAATAAGTGAGCTGATAGACATCATTTGAAGTTTTACAAGCACATTTTATAGCTACAAATTATACCTTCTTCTACCTTGGAGGTCCCTCCTAGCGAGGACATTTTTTGGCACCTGAGATCTTCCCAAACTCTTCACTGGTACTCCCTGCTTTCAGTGTTTAATTTAGGACAGTATCGACGAGAAGCAGTGAGCTACAAGAACTATGAATTCTTTCTCCCAGACAACGTGGAAGCCCTACTTATTAGGAAGTAAGTACTCAACATTTTAAGAACTGTGATGCCCCCTGAATAAGAGGCAGGTCTTTGTTCAGATATTGGGAGAATGGGACAGAGTAATCTGGGCCAGGAATGAGGCCCTCTAGAATCTCAAACAGTAGTTGGAACAGTCATTCCACCATCCTGCCCAAAGCTTATTTGTGATCATAACCACTCCATTTCTCAAGAACCTTTAACAGTCTCCTACTTCTGACAAGGGAGAATAGAAATCCTCAGCTTAGCATTTCAGACAGGAGCCTTTAGTTTAGGCCAATCTAGTCTCTAGAGACTCAATTTAACCTCCAAGTCTCTCTCCCTTCCAAGACTAAGCACTCTCAGAACAGAGCCCAGGGATCATTTATTTATTCATGCCTTCCTCATAGAACACAATAACAAATAATCACTGGAGAGATTCTTACTGAAAATGTAAATAAACTACCACTGTCACAACTATTCTTACACTGTTACTGATGCCAGGAATATCTTTTACTTCACAGACCACATACCTAGGTTTTACCTGGGTTCCTAAACCAGTTCAGTGTGAGCTTCATTAGCTCAAGAGTTGGAGCCATTAGTGTCATGACTTTTATCATTGCTCAGATTTTTCTGGATATGTCACTGTTTACCTGTCCCTGAGCTATGCACACAAAGCTGCTTTCAACTATTTAAGCCTCTGTGCTTGACATGGTGCCTAGAACATAGAACGCACTATGTAGATGTTCAATAAATGATGAATTCAGGGTAAGACATGTGAGAGATGATATAGAAGATAATACAGAGAAAGAAAGCTTAACCACTGTTATCTACCATTCTGGTGGCTAGAGGTTGTCTCTGTTTCTTTCTTGGTTTATTTCAGACAGTGTGCTCTGGCAGCCCTGAAGGATGTTCACAACTATCTCAGCCATGAGGAAGGTCATGTTGCGGTAAAGAAATTTCCATTTTGGCAGCGTCCGTAGCTCAGTCGGTAGGGCACCAGCCACATACACTGAGGCTGGCAGGTTCAGACCTGACCCAGGCCAGCTAAACAACAATGACAACTACAACCAAAAAAAAAAAAAATAGTTGGCCGGTGTGGTGGGTGCCTATAGTCCCAGCTACTTGGAAGGCTGAGACAAAAGAATCGCTTAAGCCCAAGAGTTTGAGGTTGCTGTGAGCTGTGACACCACAGCACTCTACCCAGGGTGACAGCTTGAGACTATGTTTCAAAAAAAAAAAAAAGAAATTTCCATTTTTACCTTGAGTATCTGGTGAGATAGAGAAGAGCTGGTATGTACCATACATTTTTCTAAGTACTTGCATATATTAATAATTTAATTTTATGCTCCTACATGAGCTAGATATTGTTATTATATGCCATTTTAGAACCCAGAAGAATCATTCACAGAGATATAAAATAATTCTCCAAGGTAGTATATCACATACACAATAGGACCAGAATTGGAATCCAGGTTGTGTAGCCTCAGAATCTTCACTCTTAAACATTATTATCTACTAGTCAGCTCTCAAGAAATCAGGAGGACAGCACTAGGATTTAAGACTGCAGTACAGATATTTTTGTGTTCTAGAGATTTACCTAAACATCTAGTTAATATAATTTCCTAGACTGTTGGGATAGTAGTTGCAAATTCTAAAAGGAAAAGAGATCTTCACAATTCAAATGATCCCATATCAGATGCTGAGGACAGGGAGTTGTATCCTGTTCATGGGAACTTCTTAGAGGATAAGGAAGGAAGAAACCTCACCTTGAAGTTGTGAGACCCAGGTCTAGCTCTCCTTTGTCAGCAACTCTCAGTGATTTGGGTCAAGGCAAGTCCTTCTTCTAGGCCTCAATTACTTTATCTGTGTCAAGTGGACCTAATAAATACCCACAATTTTCTTCTTGCCAACTTAGTGCATTCCCAGGGGCTGGTATCTTTCTGCACAGAAAATAAGGCCTCAGTGAGTGCTTGTGAAATTAAATAAGCCAATTCCAAGTTCTTCCTATATTTTAAAGCCATGTTCAAGTTATACTTCATTCTGGAATCTTTTCTTTTAACACAGCAATGGACAAAGAGTAGGTGCTCTATCCATTATAAATTTGGAGAAAGCTAATCTCATTACCTGTCTCTAGGTTTTTGATGCCACCAATACTACCAGAGAACGACGATCAATGATTTTGGAGTTTGCCAAGGAACATGCTTACAAGGTACAGTAATACTGTCAGTCTTACATAGAGACTCATTATCTAGCACAAACTCCAAAGAAGGGCAAACCAGGAGACTCAGAGCAGCCAAATCAGCTACTCTAGTCTCAAAATTCTAATTTGCTTGTCTGGCATTTTAGGATGCAGTCAGAAGCTGCAAAGCAGAACAGGAAAGGAGGGATGCTATGTTAAGCAATGGAAGATGACTATTGATAGGCTGACACTATGGGGGATGATGAGGAGAAAGGAGTAGAGAGAACCACTATAAAAAGATGATATAAGAACTAAAATGCAGTAAAGATACAAAACAGTCTGAGGCCAGTCAACCTAGAACCAAACTGTTTTACAAAACTCAGAAGCCTGAAAGAACAAAACTGTGAACATTAGGTTGTTGGAGGTGCCTCTAGGATGGCTCAGAGCCATTGAGAAGAATTAGAAGAATTTAAGCAATGTTTGCTTTCTACTAAATACAATTCTCTGTTAGAAATCTCTTTTCTGTTTCTCTCATAGGTCTTTTTTATCGAGTCCATTTGTAATGACCCTGGTGTCATTGCAGAAAATATCAGGGTAAGGAGCACCAATTCCCTTTCCTCCTTGATCTGACTTAAGCTTGGATCATGCCTAAAAGATCTTTGTGAGATTAAACAAGTATTCCTCCCTGAGTGTCTCCCCCATTTTATACAGAAATCATTGCCTGACCATCATGACTCACAATGAACCTACAAAATTAACAAGTCACCATAATAATATCAGAACTACCTAGGCATGTGGTCTAGAACTAGGTCATTCACAACGTTTTGTTGTTCCATACTTCACCAAATTATTAAAGCTCAGGTACAGAAGAGACCTTAAAGGTTATCTCCTTCAATCCTCCTTCATCAGATACATGAAACCTCAGCTAAATTTTTCTCTACTTTTTTTTTTATACCTGCAATGGAAAGAGGCTCATTACTTTTAACAAATTAGTCCAGTCAAACTGAAATCTACCTCCCCATGATTTTCACTTAATGGTCTTTGTTTTTAACCTCCTAGGGCATAAAGCATATCCAGTTCCTCTCTTCTATCTTCACCTATGCATCTATCCATCAACTTATTGATTCAAAATAAATTTATTGTTATATGTACACCTGGGCTGGGCCATTCTGTGCATTAGAGACAGATAAGTGGATAAAGAATAGTCCTTTCCTTGCGCCCACATTGAGGGAGACTGACTAGCATATGGCTAGAACTCTGAGGTCAGTGTTGAGATTTGGGGAACAGAGGAAGCTGTGGAAGCACAGAACTCCTTGCATGGGGATAAATATAAGGGAAAGATTCCCAGTGGAAGGAATAATTGAGCTGAATATGGAGAATGTATGGGAATGTGCCAGACAGGTAAAAAATGAGAAATAAGGGAATAGCATGTACTAAGTATGGCATCTCCAGGGAAATGTAAGTAACTTAGATTATATAAAGCAAACTGTGTGTAAGAAATAGGGGATCAGTTGGAGGTGAGGACTAAGAGATAGTTTGGGGCTCAATCTATGACAAGTCATGAGCCACCTATGAAATAGTTCATAGATTTTTTCTAAAACATATGAGGAATGGGGAAGGATTTTAAGTAAGAAGATGCTGTGGCCAGATTTGCATGTTAGAAATATCCCTCTGGCTGCCTGAATAGTGAACAGATCAGAAATAACAAGGCTATAGACAAAGTAATAAGTCACGAAGCTATAGTGAGCACAGGCAAGACAAATAGGTATTTAGATAATACAACAGAGTGGAGAGGATTGAGGATTTGGTGACTGCTAGGATGTGAAGGATGATAAACATATTATATGACTCTCAGAATCCTTATAGGTTCAGGTGACTGGTTGGATGATAGTGACATTCCCTGAGATAAGAATTGTGGAAGGAGATAGTAGGCGGTAGGGGATTAGGATATGCCAGCCATCAGAAATTCAAAGATAACATGCCATATACTCCCAGGAAAAAATTTGATACATGTAAGACATTATGACCCCTGGTCAAGATTTATAGTAACTCTTCTTCAACCTTTTTCACACCAAAATTTCTTGTCCTCATATAAATGTAACAAATGTTCTTCTTAAGGACTATGTGCTCTAAGACTAAGTATAATGTAACAGGCCTTGTTTGACCACACAGAACTACAAAATGATGAAACACACAGTCTGACTACTATTTAATTGACTGATGGCATAAACCTGGGCAAGATTGTTTCTCCAAGACTCAATTTCTTCACCTTTATAATGAAGGATGTTGTACTCAATGATCTCTATAGGCTCTTTCTAAGGGCATTGTCAGAGTCTCTATCTCTCAATGTATTACTTGATGCTTCTGTCCTTCTCCCTACTCCCAGCAAGTGAAACTTGGCAGCCCTGATTACATAGGCTGTGACCATGAAAAGGTTCTGGAAGATTTTCTAAAGAGAATTGAGTGCTATGAGGTCAACTACCAACCTTTGGATGATGAAATGGACAGGTAAGAGCCCATCACCCCACAGTTGAAGTTCCTAACCCAGTTTTGATGTCCTATAGGACCTATGGAAATGTTATTCCTTTATGGGCCTCATCTTATCTGCAAGATGATGCTCTGTTTTCAAGGTCCCTCCTGACTCTAAGTCCTAAATGTGCAAGTATTCATAAGATGACTTAAATAGTTATTTCCTGAGCAATATAGATAGATCAGGATCCTGGGAACAAATGCCTTCCTTTTGTGGGTAACTGGTTGGATGATAGTGACATTCTCTGACATAAGGATCATGGGAAGAGATTGTTTCACAATGGCACCATATAGAATAAGAGCATATGGTGAGGTGATAGAGCCTTCAGGAAGGCAGCAGAAGCAAGAGAACAACACTGAGAAAGCCCCAGCCCTACGCCTAGATTATTGCAGGTCCTTGGTTGTTGTTTGTTGAATTAGTTTGGCCTGAAGACAACAGATCTAGAAGGTCAGTTTACGTCATCACTTTTTTCCATCAGCAGACATTTACATTCCATGCATTAGGTTCTATCCATGAGCATAGAACCCGAGAGGGAATAGTTGTCCTTGCTTTGACAGAATGTCCAGTAAGTTGAGTAAAACAATGAGTATACAATTGATCACAATTATGAAGACAATGAACCAAGATGGCATAGGATCCAACTCAGCTTGGAGGAAGAAGGTCTAGAAAAGCTAGATTACCCAATAGGCAGATTAAACATGTATTTAGGGCACTAGCAAGGTAGGAGCTACCAAAAAGAAGAAGAAAAGCATCTTAAAACCTTTTTAATATTTAATACTTCAAAAACAATGTCAAGGTAAAGTGGAAAAAACTAAAGCCAGAACCTAGGAGAACCTCCCCCATATTATTATATTGTTTATAATTTTTATTATAAATTACACATGATGGAGATAAGCATTAGCTACTATAAATGTTCAGTGTGGGGCAACTTTAAATGACTTGTGGGCCCAAGGAAAGCTTCCTGGAGATAGTGAATTTGCTGACTCTTGAGGGATAGCTGCATGGGAGCTCAAATTGGAAATCAGGCAAAGCAGGTCCTTTCAAGCAAAGAGAACAACACTTTTTAATGGCCTAGTTAAATCTGAATAACAGAGGAGTACAGAGAATATTCCAAATATAACAAAAAAAAATAGGGAAAGAATGAAACAGAGAAGTTATAGATATTCTAATGGGACCCTGAATTGAGGCCAACTGGGTCCAGTGTGTGAGGGACTATAAGACTATAGTCTCCCCTAGACTATAAGACTAAGCTGAGGAATTGAGAAGTTCTCCAAGAGCTGCATGGGACCTAGAGTTAGGAACAGAAAGTAACTAGGCAAGAACATTGGATCAGATGTGTCCTATCCCTAGGCTCTGAGGGTTCTAGGAGAGATAATTTGAGAGAGGGTTCTGGGTTCTAAATCCCAAGTCTACTTTTCCCTGAGAAAGTGAACTTGGACAAATCACTTCCTTTCTCTGTGGTTCAGTTTCCTCACCTATAAAACAAATATGATAATCTCTGCTCTGTAGGAGGGTCATGAAGACTCACGGACTTTAAAATCCCCACTCCCTGACAGATGCACAATGTTCAGCAAATGCAAATGCCCTGTGAGAGCCATTGGGTTTAGCTCATAGGACTGGGTATGAGCAGTGTTGTGAACATATAGAGGACATCTCTAAGAAGATAAAGGGAAAGGCTATCTGAAGGCAAGCCAATCAGAAGGCTTACCTGCCTTAGGTTAGTGCAGCTTTTTTCCACTTACTTGGTTTTGTTACCATGCAATCAGAGTTGCTAGTGTCACCTCATTGGCCCAGTCTCTCACATCTCTTCCCAGGAATCTTTCTGAATACTCTTCAAGCCAACAATTAAAGAACTAATGCCTGGCACATCAGAGGTCTCAGGAGTCATGTTTCACGGTTATGATCTGATTAATCAGTGTTTCTTCCCCATCCCTTGGCTTCTCCAGAGACAGATAGTTGAAGAGGTTATAGTTATTAGTTCATGACAGAGCATAGAATTGAGGAAACAAGAAGGAACTTGTAGCAGGGACCACAAGTTCCCCCATGGTGTTGTGGACTTCATATTCTCATGCCCCAGTACTTGGAACAGTACAGAGGGACTAGCTATGGAATGAATGTTGAAGATTGATTATGTGTTTACAAATATGTATGTTCCTGATTGCCCAAAGAGTTCCCAAATGGGAAACACTGGGTACCCATACCAAGCACATTGCCTAGAACAGAGGAAGTTATGTTTGTTGACAGCATGGAAAATAGGGAAAGAACACAGCCCAAACATGCATTTAGGGCACTAGATTTCTGAGTGGGGAGAGAGACACACATACTAAAACACATATGTGTACAAACACAATCTGGTAGTTTACTGTAGAGTGTAACGTATAATACATAGCTCCAAGAACAAAAGGGAAGAGCTTGGCTCAGGATTAGAAAGTTATGGGAAATAGATAAGTCAAAAGCTACCAGTGAGATGTTGGAGACAGCGAGGGACACAGAGGATTACTCCTCATCTCTGAGTATAAGAATGGTGTGAACTAAAGAGGAGAGAACCCCAGCCACCTGTAGTGTGATGATTGAAGGTGAAAAGACAGCTTGGCTCAAGCTGAGGCTGAAGAAAGAAGACAGGGGAGATGGTAGCAAGCATTGAGAAACTTGGGATGGTCAGGAAACAAGTCTCTGGGGCAGGTACTCAGAACAAGGCAAGGCATGGCATCATATTAGGTGAGAGCTGGGTTGTGGAATAGACTTCAAAGCAGGGTGTGTGGTTGGAGCTTTCTCTTGGGTCAACTCCACCATCATCAGCTCCTCAGCCTTTGCTCCTACTTGGCTCTGGCCCAGCCACCTGTCCTACATTAAGATATTTGACGTGGGAACACGCTACTTGGTGAACCGAGTGCAGGACCACATCCAGAGCCGTACAGTCTACTACCTCATGAACATCCACGTCACACCCCGCTCCATCTACCTATGCCGGCATGGTGAGAGTGAGCTCAACCTCAGAGGCCGCATTGGAGGCGACTCTGGCCTCTCAGCTCGAGGCAAGCAGGTGGGAAGGGCCCCATGCACCCAGAGGGGTTGGCCAAGATGGCCAGGTGGGCGGGGGTCAGGGGATTGGTCACTGACTGGGTCCTGAGATAGAAGACCCAGGTCAGGCCCTCTGACTCTCCTGGCATGAGTCTCTTCTCCCGAGCTGAGCACACTGTCCCACATGAGCTGAGTGCTGGATATACAAAAGGATCTGCTGTCCAGCATTTGGCCCTGCACCAGGGCTTGTTAGCACATGTGTTGTTCCTGCTGTGAGGGCCACATGGGGTGGCACAAGTGAGAAAAGTAGTGAAGGGACGTGTATTGTCATTGTCTTTTATTGAACACATATGTGCAGTCATGGTGTGATCTGCTTTCACACATGTGGGCTCATTTAATCTTCACATGAGCTCCATGGGGTCAGCATTACATCACCCATTTATGAATGAGGTAGTTGAGGCCAAAAGAGTAGCAGAGAATGACCCCAAAGCTCATAGCTGGTACTGACAGATACTACCTGTGCCTCAACTCTCCCCTGGAGAGGCAGGAAGTATCCTAGGCTAGGTATGGCTCCAGAAGACATGGTCCTCAAGGCTCCCTTTCTTTCCTCCAGATGGACAGCCTCCCCTTGAGATAGACTCTGGCGTCTGACTCCCCTTCTCCCACCCCTCTGCCCAGCATCAGAAGCACCTGCCGCAGGGGTGTCTCAGTTGGAGCCCTCCATCTTGCCCATCTGATCAGACACAATGCCATTTCCACAGGGAGCACCTTTGTGGTGCACAAGCACACAACTGCCCCAACCTTTGTGCTTGTGGCTACAATGCACCAGCTCAGTTTAGAAGTCACTTCTTATCAACTATCACCCCCATTACCATCACTCTTACTTGTGTAGCATTGGTGCCCCCCCCCATTATCTAAAGTGTCACTCACAGAGAGCAGGCCAGGTGAGCCAGTGCTCTTCTCTGGCTCTTACAGGCAATGAGGCCAGAGAGGGGCAGGGATGTGTCCCAGGGCACATGGGCACTGTGTGAGGCAGTTGGGGGAGTTAGACCCACATCTCCTACTTCCCAGTCAAGGGAAGCTAACACCTGAGCACACTGCCTGCTGACTCATATCTGTGATTAAATGTTATGTATAACATGGCTATAACCCTATGTATACACCTAGATGTAGATGGATATTCCTGATACATAGCATCTGTGATGATATAACACACCTACCTGTACACAGAAGAAGCTCTTCTGGGCTCCCGCATCCCTTTGTGGTTCCCCTCAGTGCTGCCATCATTGTCTCACTGCACTGGCCATCTCCTGAGAAAAAGAACACCCCAGCACCCAGCACAGGGCTACACACACTCAATATATGTGTGAATGCCTTTAGTACCTGTGTACCAGGAACCCTTCTTGAGCAATAGGAATTTACAGTGTCAAAGAGAAATGGAAATGTCTCCTAAATCCCACACTTCCACTACCCAACCACATTTTGGGTATCCCACTCTTTACCCTTATTGCCCAGAGTTTGCTTTCAGTGCCTACATGAGCCTAGACTAGCATCTGCTTCCCTGAGGGCTGGCCACAGAACAGGAGTGTTCACACTTAGGCCAAAGGGTAGCCAAGGACTTGCTATTTGTGAATCATAGGGCTTAGTAGAGGTGGGGACAGGACTCAGCCATGTGACTGGATTATCTGCAAATATGTACCCAAGGCACCTAAAAGTACAGTATGGAGCCAGAAACAGAATGAGAAGGGAGGCAGATTATGGATATAGATCATCCATTTGTACTCTTATTCTAAGTTCCACAAATGTTATAGGTGGGTCCGTTTGAATGAATAAATAACTGAGTAGGGGGTTCAGTGAGCAAGCATGAATGAACACACACACATGCACACACACGCTTTTCTATTCACCTGACTCTTGATCACATGGAAAAGAGTATGTATTTTTGTAAATTAGGAACATTTAAACTCTCTGCTCTTGCTTGTTCATAACCATTCCATTTGTAGCATTTCTGAGCTTGTTACCGTGGCTACCCTGTCCATTCTCACCTCTCCTTTTTCCTTCCTCTCCTCCTCTGCACCCCTACATCTTAGTATGCCTATGCCCTGGCCAACTTCATTCAGTCTCAGAGCATCAGCTCCCTGAAGGTGTGGACCAGCCACATGAAGAGGACCATCCAGACAGCTGAGGCTCTTGGTGTCCCCTATGAACAGTGGAAGGCCCTGAATGAAATTGATGCGGTGAGATGTAGGGGGTGAATATTGTGGCAGTGGGGGGGAGACATTAATATGGCTTTATCCCCTGAGTTGCCCATTCCAATTCCAATGAGGAAGCTAATTAATTTAACAGACATTTCTTGACAACTATGTGTCAGATCCATGTGCTTTGGAGATCCAACAAAGACCAAAAGAGACACAGTCTCTGTCCTTACGAAGCAATCAGTAAATAGGACATTACATCTCAATGTGACAAGGGGTTATGAGAGAGAAAGTTAAAGGATTCTGGGGGGTGAGAATGTGAGGGTCAGATTTGGTGGGGGAGGGATTTGTAAGAAAAGCTTCCTGGAGGAAGTGAAAGGTGAGAGAAGCAGCAGCCAAAATTTAGTTCAAGGGCAGAGAACAGCCGTCAGAAGGCCCAAAGATTAGAATAGATCATGAAATATTCAGGGAACTAAAGGAAAGAATAGCAGAGAGGCTGGGTGGTGATAATGAGGTCTGGAAAAAAGGGAAATGAAGCTGGAAAGGAAGCCTGGCCATGGGGCCTGATAGTCCATGTTGAGGGATTTGTATTCTGCCCTAATAACAGTGGGAATCTATTCATGCTAAGTCAAGGAGGACTGGTCTGAACATGATTAACATTGTTTAATAAGAGTCCACCCTGGGCATGTGTGGAGACTCGATGGGAAGAGAGCCAGAATGAGCGTGGAGATTAGTAAGGAGATGGCTATTTTGGTCTGGCAAGAGGTGAGGGCATGTTGGACCAGAGTAGTGGCATTAAAGATGAAGAAGAAAGACTTGTGGAATTTTTCAAAGTTGGTAATCAGTAGGACTTGATACTGTACTTGCTATAAAGGGTGAGGAAGAGGGAGGAGTAAAGGGTTCAACCCCGGTGATATCGCAATTTTCATTTAGTGTCAGGTTTTCCTGTAAGCTCTTTGTGAAAGAAGCTGTTTCCTCTTCATTGTCTACCTGTACTGTAGGTAAATTGGTACTGGGCAGCAGTCTACAGGTTGTGGTGGTTGGATGTCAACATAAAAGCCTCATCAAAGGTGTAGATAACTTGCATGTGGGTAGCTTAACTTGCTTTCTTGTTAGATATATTCTATAGGTAGATATGTGTGTACATTTACACATATAAATACAGATGTACTGAGATACACATTTAGAAGAGAGCTATGCAAGATTGTTCTACATATGACACACATTCACTATAAAATACTTGCAAATAAATATGTAAATTATTTATCCTAAGAGTTTAGTTGCTATTTATTTCTGGTCCACATCTGGTGTAAACATTTATTGAACAAACATTTATTGAATATCTGTTTGTTTTCAGTTTTGGAGTGGTGCTAAAGATGGAGATTGATCTGATTGGTTCCTATCTTCACTGATATTTTAGGATAAATAAGATAGACAGAGGAATAAACAGAAATATAAAACTGTGTGTATGATACAGGCTCTGATAAGTAAGATTATGGGTGCATAGAAGTCGGACAGAATCTTCCTTGAGGAAGTAATGACTAGCTGAAGCCTGAAGGTGAAGTAGCAGTGAATCAGGTAGAAAGGTTCAGAAATGGTATTCCATGCAGAGAGAGCAACTTAAGCAGGATATTGTGTGTATATGAAATTGGTAAAGTTGTACCACTGGAGACAAAGAGAGAGAAAAAAGGAAGATATTTGAGAGAGATTTAGGAAGTAGAATCTCAGGAATTGTCTCAAGGGGGTGTGGAAGAAGCAAGAATTTAGAATGATGCCTAAGTTTCTGATTTTTTTTATATGATTAATAATAATACTTAATTCCCCTGACTGAGCCTTTAAAATATGCCATGTACATCCTGTACTAGTATTTTACATAATTCATCCACAATATTCAAAACACTTATGTCAGGTGGTTGTAATTTTCCTCATTTTGCAGAAAGGAAAATAAAACTCAGAGAGATTAGGCAATTTGTCTAAAATCAATAAGGAATCAGTGGCCATTTCCTTTTCTAGCATTTCTCAGAATAGAAAGTTGAAACCAATCTGGAAGGACCTTGTGTATCCAACAGGTTGCACTTTTTCTTTCATGGGCAGTGTCATTGGAGAAGTTTGACACTGCAAAGCTGTGGGTTGGTGTGGGAGTTTTGTTCCTCATCCCTGAGAGAAGCCTAGTAGTTGGGTCCAAAGGACAGCAACTACAGCCTGCTGCACCCTCACCCCACTGCCACCACAGGTTGGTTTAATTAAAATCTACACACTGAAGAAGGAAACCTTAGAAAACCAGCATCACTTCCCAGTGCCACCACCAGCCATTTACCTATGAGGATTGCTAAGTAGATTTTGAATCTCTCAACCTCCTGAAGAACTCATTCTCTGAGTCCTCAGTTCCTTCTTTGGATGAAGAGAGTGTATCTCTTCAACACTTACTCTGGAACTGTTAGGAATGTATTAATTTTTCTTCAGTGAGATGTTTGTGGATACTTCTTCCTTTATATGCCAGAGGTCCCAAAGTAGAGGTCTGGGTCAGATGGATGGGAAATGCTATAAAATAGAAGAACCTACTACATATGTACACACTCACATGTACTTGCATATGCAGTCACAGACACCCACCACAAGAGTGCCCACACTCGCATATATGTACATACAGACACATGCACCCTCTCTTAGCAATGATACCTGCAGGTATAAACATAATACTCAGATGTAAGATATATACCTACAAACCTACTGGGACAATAGTAGAAAAACAGTATACACTCAGCGTGAACACATGTACCTATTCCTATCCATTCACTCTCATATCCACATAGCCACATACATCATGTAATACACAAACTCTCACAGACAACACGCCCACCCCAGAGCTATTTTTCCAGAATCATTGGTCTCAGAATTATGACAAAGACCATGTGGATTTCACTGTGTTAATACTTTTGCCCCCAAATACTTTTTTAAAATTAAATCATACTGTGTACATTAACACATTTATGAGGTACAATGTGCTGGTTTTATATACAATTTGAAATACATCAAACTGGTTAACGTAGCCTTCACTACACTTTCTTAATTATTGTGTTAAGACATTTATACTATATACTTAGTAGATGTGACATGTACCCTTGTTAAATGCACCACACCCAAATATTTTTTTCAGGGTGTCTGTGAAGAGATGACCTATGAAGAAATACAAGAACACTACCCTGAAGAATTTGCACTGCGAGACCAAGATAAATATCGCTACCGATACCCAAAGGGAGAGGTAAGGTTTGGAGGGGTGGCCTAATTTCTAGGTCTCCTCCCCAGTATTTCCACTCCAATTAAAAGGATACCACAATTGCCTAGGAAGCTTTAGAAAATATATTTTGAAGCAGCTGCCATCCTACAAAAATCATCATTTTCTGACCCTTGGTTCAGATTCTTGGTTATAAAAAAAAGACTCCTCTTTTTGAAAAGTTATGTACATTTGTTTGCTTTCTTATTCTCACTGATTTCAGTAGGATTAACTTTATCCTAAACTTGTCTCTGGTATCCCCTCTCTAAAGACATTTGACATAGTTCAGCACCCTCTATTTTTTTGACATTGTGTTGTTAGGTTGCCTAAAGTTCCAGACTCTCTGGGGAACTGGCATTGTCTAAAGGGACAATGGCTAATTAAGCAAATTCTTTGCCGCCACATAAACCAGACTGTCACTTCCCTATCCCCATGTGAGATGAATGGTCATTGCTTTTAGTCCAATCACCACTTAGCCAGTTTCACATTTTAGGGCATTTATTAGTCATACTCTACTTCTGATATAAATTCCTGAGAACAACTATCAGAAAAGTAGGACATCTGGGAAGATAAAACAATAGATATTCTGTTCAGTTACATAACACTTTCACATGTTTATCTGTATCCTCAGAAATGACATTATAAAATTCATCTTTATTTGTCCTTATTTCCTTTATGTATTTTGAGGCTATTTTAAAAGGCATATAAATTTAAAGCAGTTATATCTTCTTGGTCAATTGTACAATTTATTATTACATAGTGATCAAACCTCTATTCTCCTGATAATCTTTTTTTGGTCCAAAAGTGTACTTTACTTTTTATTTCAATAGATTTAGGAGTTACAAGTGTTTTTTTACTACACAAATGAATTCTATAATGGTGAAGACATGGTGTTTAGTGTACCTATCAGAAGAATAGTGTACATTGTATACTAAGGGATCAAAAAAAAAAATGATCTTTGATCCCTTACCCCTAGGCTTCCTTTTCTTAGTTTCCAATGTCCATTATACCAGAGAGTATAGTTTATTTAACATTAATATACTAGTACAAGATTGCTTCTGGTGACTGCTTGCCTTGTTCACTTTTATTTATTCAGTTATTTCAACTTCCCTGTATATTTTTGTTTTGTGTGTCTTATAAACAGCTTATATAGTTGGATTCTGTTGTTTTTACTCTGAACTAAAAATATATGTCTTTTGAATAGTAAGTTTGGTGCCTTTATTATTATTAATTGTAGTTTATTTCTATTGTCTTGAGCTCTTTATGCTTAGTTTTCATTTTGTTCTTG